TTCCTTCCTTCCTTCCTTCCTTCCTTCCTTCCTTCCTTCCTTCCTTACCTACTTAACTGCTGCTTCACTGCTGCACTAGTTCCTAACGTTCACCATTTATCTGTTGGCAGTAAGGTTCGATATTACAACTTTGTAATGTTTAAAACCTTCATGCGATGGAGGCATAACAAATGGACTATCTGTCTGTGCTATAACAGTTTTTTTTAACACTGCTCAGGTGTTGGCAGTGTGTCTGCTGTCTGAAGGTCAGAGGCTCTATCTTCACTGGAGCCACAAGGTAGGAAATCAGCAAAAGGGCAGCTCCAAATTCACATAATTCACAAAAGATGACCTACAGAAAAAGAGACGTGATGACGTGTTGTTCTGTCCTATTTACGTTGATGTTAGACTGGCATCATGGTGACGCTGGTGTTTTCTGTCACCGCCACTGGCATCCTGTCGGACCTCTGGAGCAAAGAATGGAAAACTCTCCAACTGTCCCTGCAGGTTAGCAGCACCAAACACCCATAAACCACAGCAAAAATAGATCAGCTTTACTCCTGCTCGAAAAGACGTAGTTGTTCTCGAGCATTCACTCTAGAATTGTTCTTGTGTTACTCTTTGTTATGGTTTTTGCACTAATTTGAGAGAAAAAAAATCGACAGAACACATTCTGTGGAGTTCTTCAATAAAACAAAAAGAACAAAACATTTTTATAACAAACAGAAGTTATACATTGGACATGAGGCCAATTCTGACCACAAATTTTCCCAAATGTTTCCTCTTCCATCTTCAGACAGTGAGTCATTTTTCCATCAAATACATTTTCTCATATATATCCACTGTTACAATTCCATGTTTTAGTGTGGTAACTTTTTCACAGGCCATCAGCATCATTATAAACAAATAGAGATCTTCTGTTGTAATAACTCCCTCGTGCACCAGGCCCAAACACACGACTCGTGGATCAACAGCTATTTTACAGCCCAGTATTTCTCCCATCATTGATATATTTTTCCAAAAAGTACTTTTCCAAAATACATGCAAATGATCAGCACTCCAATCACCACAGCGTTTCCAGCATTTTATTTTTTAGTTTTTTATATTTACTGCTGTTGTTTGGAGTAATAAAATCCCTCACCATGTTTTTCAGTCAAATTTTCTCCACTGCCTTGAGCTTGTTAAAGTATGTTTCAGCAGACATATAGCGGGCCAATCAATCATCCTCCGATGACTGAATCTGTAATTCTGTTTCCCATTTCTGTTTTATGTTAAAGTATTTTTGCTCTTCATATTCTTTAATGATTTATACAAATTAGAAAAAAATTGGGGGGGAAGCTGCCTATATACTTTCCTACTAATTTGCTTCCCTTTTTTGTAGAATGTTTCTTAATTTCTGAATTATGAAAAATTCTTAATTGAAAATATCTAAATATTGTTGATTTGCCCAATTCATGGTTGTTTATTTTTTCAGGTGACGGCTCCTTTCCTCCATGTGGCTGCAGTCTCTCTGATGGCGGTTCTCTCCTGGCCGACTGCTTTGCACTTTTTCCGCATGAGCAAGAGAGGTGAACAAAACGACTGTTTTTATTTCCTCAGGTTTAAAGAAAATAGATCGATTGAGATGGGAGTTGTTTCAATTTTGAAATGTAGAGCCCTAAAAAGAAAACTTAATCTTCATCCTTCATTCTGCAAAGAGCATTTCTAAGACTTTTAGTATCTGTTGGAAGACAGTGAGCATTATCAACAGAGAACAGACTGAACAGAGGTGAACCTTCTCAGGAGTGGTGGACCTATCAAATGACTCCAATAATTATATAATTGGTAGTTGGGAATAATTGAAAGTAAACCAGACAGAAGTGAATTGAACTAGTAAATTAGGAAAGTAGAAGGACTGTGAGGGTTTTTTTTAGTACCTTTTTTCAGTAGAGAACCAGCTGTTTAGAAAATGTAATTAAATTGTCTGGCAGAGTCTCTACATGCCACTGAAGCTCTCCTCATGTCTGTCCACTTCCTCTGAGCAGAAAGCATCTCCACTTTCTATTGCCTCCCAGAGTTCACCCTTCCTTTCCCTTCACATCGCCTTTGATTTGTTTATCTTTTGATCCAGTCTCCTCTCAGCTCCGACCTTATAGATGCTTTAGTTTCTTTCTGTCCTGCATTATGTCAGACTCTGAATGGCTTTGACCTCCAGGTCTCTGCCTTCCTCATCTGGTCTCCATGGGTACTGTCCCTTGTTGCCATGGTGACTCAGCAGCTCCTTGGATGCTGAGTCACACGAGGGGTCTCCTGCGAGAGGAAGCAGCAAAGGATTAGCCCCAGAGGGAAATGTTCTAGCTTGCTCCAGGTGAACTCAATGGAGACGTAAAAACCCATTTAATTACAGGGAGGCGATGTGAGGCTCATATTGATTGGTTGATGGGTTTCCTAATGAATTGGCTATACATCTGAGCTGTTTATGGGGCTAAATACTGATGGTGCAAAGTATGAGAAACAAATTGGTAAATGGAGCAGAGCTGTGTGTACTTTAGTCTCAGCTTAATATCTGCTGTCTTCAAAGAGGTTCTGTTGGAGAACATGAAGCATCAAGAAGAGCAATTGCCCCTCTCAGTGGTTTATTCTTTAAGCTAATGACATGTTTTACAGTCTTTATACTCTGGTTGACTATGGAGGATAAAAAGTGCCAAAATTAAATAAATAAATACACCATTAAAAGAATCTGTCAAACTCACCCATCAAAGTTAGGGGGCGGTTATCTAACATCTGCACCCTGCACATTAAGGCGAAGCAAATCAATTACAAAGACTGTGATCCACAGGTTGGGAACATACTCTGATACAGTAGGTGGCAACTCGATGGTTAACCCTGCCCCCTAACTTTGATGGGTGAGTTTGACAGATTATTTTAATGGTTTCGATGCACTGCGACACAGGACCATGAAATAATTAAATGCACACTGAAATAATTATATATATTTTTTTAATAAAATGAAGACGTATTTTATTAAATTAATGACACATTTATTAATTTAATTCCTCATTTATTTAATGAATTACACATTTAATTAATTGTTTATCACTGTATTTATTTATTTAATTGTGGTACTTTATAATAGTGACATGGTTTTAATTACTGAATGACACATTTATTTATTTAATTCCACATTTAATTAAACATTGACACATTTAATTATTTATTTAATGCTGTATTTATTTATTTAATTTTGGCACTTTTTATCCTCCATAGTTGACAATAATCAGTTGTAAAATAAATTGATTACTTTAATAATCCATCAATCTGACCAATTGTTTCAGCCTTAACTAGTTTCCTCTGTTGTGTTATTTAGTTCGACAGGTTGTGGTCCTGGCCCTCTACCTGTCCGTGTTGTTCTCTCTCTACCTGGTTCCCCTGGGGATGTACTCGCCCTGCATTAAAGACGCAGGAACACTGGGACCAGCCCCTACGCTCATCGGTCACAGAGGAGCTCCAATGGTAAGGCGGCGCTTTCAGCACAAACACTGTCTCTAGCGGACAGAGGAGTAAGATCATCAGACAGTCTGATGTGGAAGATATGATTCAGAGAAATAGCCCATTATCTGCTGACGATATTTAATGCTCTGCAGATGCATGAATGAAACTAGGTTTGGACAAGATGGTGGAAAGAATCACTTAATTTGTTTTCTACACTACACACTGCTCCCTAAACCTATTTAGTGTTGAGTTTCAGTATAATCCCTAATTTATTTCTGATCCAATAAGGGATACATAACATGGGTGGATTTTATTATTTCGTGTAAAGATCCAAAGAAGGAATCAAACAAGTATAAACTAAAAATTGTTTTTAGGAAAGATCCACTTTATGTCTTCCTGAAACTTCTGGTTAAATTTTAAAAGCAGGTTCTGCACCTCTGTTCTTCACCAAACCAGTGTCAATGTATAAATCTTTATTTGTATCAGGGTGCAGTTATTTTCTGTGACTAATTATCCTACAGATGCAGATGTATCTACTCACTGTCTGGTCATTTTAGTGACTTTGTGTTTGTTTTGTGTTTTGGAAGCTCGCTCCAGAAAATACTTTAATGTCTTTTGAAAAGGCAGTAGAAGCTGGAGGAGAAGGCCTAGAGACGGACGTCACAATAAGGTATTATTTCATTTTCTTTTAATATAAGCCTGCTGGATTTTATTTCATCACATGTCAACACATAGACACACTTATACCAAAGACCAAATCAGACTAAATAACCAAACAGTCATGATTGTGGCCTGTGGGAGGAAGCTGGAAGATGCATCCCAATGATATTTTTACTACATTTACCACAAAAATAAACATTGCTACTAAAACCAGGAATGATCTGTTAGTTATTGCTTTGAATGCCAAAAGCAGAACCCCTGTTGAACTGCAGCTCTTTCATTGATCACACTCATCAGTGCCAAGGTGATTACAGCCATGCTTATCCTGTTAGCACAAAGCTTTCCTGTTAACACTCAGACTCTGCTTTCACAGCCTGTAAACACCATGATTAGCCGAGTGGCGTGACTGCAAGTTGGTTTAAGCTCATAAACAAAGGAGCTGGGTGTGAGACGGAGGTGTTTGTGAATGATTGTGATCAACTCACAGTGAGCAATCTTATTAGATGTGTTTTGAAGGACATGCAGCTAAATGTTTTAACTTCCACGATAAATTTCGAAGCACCATGTATGTTGGCTCGTATAGATTGATGGCTTGGTGAGAGCCAGATTTAATTTAATGGCTTGAGGTTTAATCAACATAAACGGCTCCATGGTGACTTTCAACGTCCTCCTCTGACTTTCATCCATGTTTGTTTTTTCCTCACTAAATATTTCTGTCATTTATAGCTATGACGGCATTCCCTTCCTGATGCACGATTCCACCCTGAGGAGGACCACTAATGTCGCCGAGGTTTTCCCCAATCGGACTCACCTGGACGCCTCCATGTTCACCTGGGCCGAGCTACAGCAGCTGAACGCTGGCAGCTGGTTCTTATCGGTAAATGTCCAATAATCAGTTCAATCTATGCTTTTCAGATATACAGTGAGGAAAATAAGTATTTGAACACCCTGCTATTTTGCAAGTTCTCCCACTTAGAAATTGTGGAGGGGTCTAAAATTGTCATCTTAGGTGGATGTCCACTGTGAGAAAGATAATGTAAAAAACCAATTCAGAAATCACAATATATGATTTTTTTAAAACTATTTAGTTGTATGATACAGCTGCTAATAAGTATTTGAATACCTGTCTATCAGCTAGAATTCTGACCCTCAAAGACCTGTCAAAGGCTGGTTATACTCCCGCAGCAGTGTGTTGCAGTGAGCATGTCACAGATATGATGCAGACATTTTTGATTTATACCCAATGTTGAAGCGTAGTCTGCGCTATGTTTTTCCACGCCACAATGCAAAAGGGAAATATCACAAACTAGCTGTGGGTCTAGATACGGCCTAGGTGGTGAGGAAATGGGGGCGATTTTGTGCGACAACGGAGGGACATGAGGGCGAAAAAGAGCGGGGTTCCAGGTGGAAAAAGGGTCCCAGCAATCTTGCGCACATCGCTCTTCTAGCTGGTCCAACTTCACGAGTCGTTTTCCCTTAATCGCGGTCATACAAACAAAACAAACCGGTAAGGTACCAAACAGGAAATACACCTAGTGTAGAGTGGATGTAGATTTAACCAATCAAATGCCTCCTGTCTGCGGCACTGTCTGCGGTTACCTATAATTTGGGAGAGGTGCAGCAGAGAGTGTGCGGTAGTGGGCGGGGACGTCTCTGCGTACACCGCAACACCTATGCAGATGACCTAGTCTCGAAATATAAATCAGCCTTTAGCCTGTCTTTAAAATGTCCACCTCCACTCCAGTTATTATCCTAACTTTGATGCACCTGTTTGAGGTCGTTAACTGCATGAAGACACCTGTCGACCCCATACAATCAGTAAGAACCCAACTGCTAACATGGCTAAGACCAAAGAGCTGTCTAAAGACACTAGAGACAAACTTGTACACCTCTATAAGTCTGGAAAGGGCTACGGGTCCACTGTTGGAGCAATCATTAGAAATGGAAGAAGCTATGAAGGAGAGGATGACCCGGGCCATGTATTGCGGGATACAGGGGAACAACCTCCGTACCTTAGTTAGAGCATTGAAGATGGGTCAATGCTGGGTCTTCCAACATGACAGTGATCCGAAGCACACAGCCAGGATAACCAAGGAGTGGCTCTGGAAAAAGCATATCTGGGTTCTGGCGTGGCCTAGTCAGTCTCCAGACCTAAACCCAATAAAGAATCTTAGGAGGGAGCTCAACCTCCATGTTTCTTAGCAACAGCCCAGAAACCTGACTGATCTAGAGAAGATCTGTGAGGAGGAGTGGGCCAAAATCCCTCCTGCAGTGTGTGCAAACCTGGTGAAAAACTACAGGAAACGTTTTACCTCTGGAATTGCAAACAAAGGCTACTGCACCAAATATTAAAATTGATTTTCTCAGGTTCAAATACTTATTTGCAGCTGTATCATACAAATAGTTGAAAAAATCCTACATTGGGATTTTTTTTTTTTTTTTTAGATAATGTCTCTCACAGTGGAAACACACCTACAATGACAATTTCAGACCCTTCCATGATTTCTATTTTCCTCACCTTAGATACCGCTCCCAATTGTGTGAAATTTTGTCAGAAATTAAGATGATCCCAATGGTTCTGATGCATGTTACATTTAGAATACTACTCTTTAAAAAAGAAAAGGTCAAGAATTAGCAGAAAATTATTTAAATAAAATCGATTGCATTTCTTGCTTCTCTTCCCAAGTGATAAAAATACGTGCTAGTGAGCTTCTGCTTCATCATAACTTTTCTATTGTAAAATAAAGTTAAATCAGTAATTTAATTTTATTACATTTATCAAATATGAACTGTGTCCAACACTATATATTCTTAGCTGCTGAAATATAGGAAAATTAAATTTTTTGTACTTCCTAATAATCAAATGCATCAAATCTAAGAAGTCTCTCTATTTCAGTGCAATAAAGTAATTGAAAGAACAAGATGCCCTTTGTTTTTCTTTTTTATGAAACAAAGATAATGAACAGATGTTTTGAAGCATAAATCAGGTTTATCTTTAATTTCCTTTATTTTCTGCTGGATTTAAATCATCACAGCAGCACACTTCTTTCTTTCTGCATTAGAATCTTTGTCAGAGTAGAAATAATCTGGTCAGACGTTACAGAAAATCAACCTTTAATATGCCTGTAAAAATGTATACTGAGCAGCAGAACAAACCACAGCTTTTGTTTCACCGTGTTCTACTCTTATAGAGGGATCCATTTGGTACTGCATCGCTACTGTCGGAGTCAGATCGCTCTCAGGCCCAAAACCAGTCTGTTCCCTCCTTGGCCCAGTTCCTGGAGGTAGCTGCTGCAAGCGGGAAACTGGTTCTGTTTGACCTGCGCAGGCCACCGTATGGACATCCTTATAGGACGTCCTACATCAACACAACTCTACAGGTCATCCAATCCCACATCAACTCCTCACAGGTGGGTCGCTTCACAGGACGAAGACACGTGATGGGTTCCATTCCTTCTCTTTGTATGAAGAATTGAGTTATTTTGTCTGTTTGTGTTTATGTAGGTGCTGTGGCTGCCTTCAGAAGACAGGGAGCTGGTTTATGGTCTGGACCCAGAGCTGCAGCAGACCTCTGGAGAAAAAGCCTCCATTCAGGAACTAGCAGACGATCACATCAGGAGGCTGAACCTGCACTACAGCACCATGTCACAGCAGCAGATCTGGTACCAACCTCACTCATCCTTCAGAGGGACTAATTTGATTTATAGTCTGTGGAAACCAGGAGCGTCATGGAATAGCAGTACTTAAAGGAAGTAGAAGTAAAACTTAAAGAAGTTTTAAGTTTACTCTGAAACAGCTAAATAAAATCCAGTGCAACAGCAGGCCTTCAGACACTAATTTATCTTTGCAAAATAGTTTAAACTTTGTTGGCATCTCGCACTAAAATATCCCAAATACATATGGAGCATTGCAGCTATATTATCATAACACAGTTGCAGCTTCCACATCAATTTACCTTACAAAACAAAAAGGCCCTATTTATAGGTTCTGGTAGAAAGCTGACATTTAATTCAGACATCTTTAAATGTTCCTGTCTGGCTCCAATGCTGGTTATATAACTGATGATACAGGTGTACATGGTGAATCCATACCGTTCTCTGAGGGAAAGAGGAGAATAAGAGAGGAGGTTAAAGGTTCAAGAGGCACTCCAGATTTGTCCAAAGAGGCTTTAAAGAGGAAAAACTGTGGAGGCGGTAGAGCTGAGCCTGAGTGAGAAGAGGACAAGATGGTTCTGGAACTAGGAAACAAGTAGGAAGGGCTCCTACATTAGCAGCAATATGAGAGGAACAATCTGGAAAGGAGGGAAATAAAAAGTGTGAGTGACTCATTTGAAGTGAGAACTTTCAACACGATTTAATCCTTAGTTAGGCCTGAGTCATTTTCACACAAACGTTTCAGCTGAACCTCTCAGCTATGATGTCACAAAGCAAAAACACATTGCTGGATAAACAGTAATGATTCTTTATTTTAAAAAAAAGTTGATGTTATTCCTAAATCCAGCTTTTATTACATGTTAACATAAATAACATTGATGTACTTGGGCTACTTTGTCAGAAAAAAATAAACAGTTCCTCCACCGTGCTCCACTATGGGCTCTAAGGTGTTTTTTTTAACCGTCTAGTTATGTATTTTCAGTACAATCATTTAAAAGGTTTTATAGGGGGGGCCTGTTTCCATGGCGCAGTGTTTAGCGTGCATGACCCAGGAACAGAGGCCTTAGTCCTTGACGCGGCCGACCGGGGTTTGAATCTGGTCCTTTGCTGCATGTCTCTCCCCCTCTCACTTACGTAACCCCTGTCCTGTCAGCCTACTTATCATCAACGAGCCACTAGTGCTGCAAAAAAATAAAAATAAATAAATACAGGTTTTATACGGTGCAGGGTGGCCAGATGAAGTTGGGTTTTGATAAACCTCCACTTAATTTGACTTTTAATGAGCAGCTGAATTCCTCCTTTTAAAATCATCTTTACTTGTTTTCCCCAGTTTATAGGAGGGCTTAAGATAATTAGGCATCATTACCTGATTTAATCAGACTGAGGACCTTGGCTCATTAAGTTCTTTAGGAGATGAGGCTCTGTTGTAGATTGTAGCTGTGTTTGTCTCTGATCCTTGTTTTAAATAAGACCAGCATCATGTAACAAAGGCGACTCGTTGCTTTCATCCAGCTTGGTTCTGAAGCGTCACCCTGATGTCATCCAAACCCCTCCCCCTCTCTCTCTGCAGTAAATACCAGTCTGTGAACATCAGCACCAACCTGTATGTGATCAGCCAGCCGTGGCTCTACACTCTGGCCTGGTGTGCTGGAGCTCAGTCTGTGACCACAAACTCCGTCCACATCCTGTCCAGCATCAACAAGCCCCTCTTCCTCATGGTGAGCAGATTCACGTCTTATAATCTGCGTTCAGGTAGAATTATTAAAGGGATAGGCATGTGTTGCAGCGCTGCGCCTTTCTACTTGCTTTAAAGTACAACAGAGTCTAAATAAAATAGAAGTTAGTTTACTCTGAGTAATAGAGTAGTTTGTTTATTCGGAGGGGCCAAATTAGAAGCGTCGCTACCCGTCATTCCATGTGCCCGCTTCAGATCGCCCTCCCTGTTGCTCTTTGAAACATCTAAAATGGCTCCTAATAGGGATTAGAATTATATAAAGAACAAACTAATGTAGTCTAACAACAAATACCAGTCTTAGAAGCTTTAGTGTTTTTTTAATAATATTTGATTGAATTTTAACAACAAAATGACTTTGAATCAGACATGTTTTTAGATTGATTTTCCTTCTCATTAACTATTTACATCAAATATATAGAAGTAGAAGATGTTTTATTTTTTTTCCTTCTTTTAAAAGCTAGAAATATGCAGATATTTAACAAAAAAATAATTGTGTTTTATTAAAAGGTTATGTAATATTTGCAGGTATAACATTAAAGGTGCTGCTTTAGGTGATATTATTCTCCTGCTGTGATATTTCCCGTTTAGAGGAACGTCTCTTTGCATTTATCATGCGCTGCTCTGAATGTTCCACTCAGAACACCTCTGGTTTCAATTACATTTTCAACATCTAGACTCCCAGTGGGAGGCTAGGACGCTCTGTATCTGGAGTAATGATCACTTCAACAAGTGTGGGTGTTACAGAATCCTGTCTCTAAACGACAAACCTCTGTCTGTCGCCACCTACACAGGGAGCCTGAGTGCCGTTCTGATGAGTTTAGCTCCTGTCTATCCCTGTCCATCAGGTAAAAGCTGGTCCTTTCTCTCTCCCTCCAGACTCCAGAGGAATACACTCTGATGTGGATTCTTACTGATTTTGTGTCTGCCTTCCTCATCTTTGCAGTTTTTACATTCCACTGGTAAGACAAAAGCTCATCATTAATGAATTGTCTGTGCGGTGGAACGGAGCTCTGCGCTGAACGCTCATCCTGTTTGCTCATTAGGCTTTATTGTTGGTGTGATAATGATAACAGAACAGCATCCGGAAGACAGGGAATTAGTTTACTTTAATCATCATCATTATCGGTGTTGTTTTTCAGCTGCTCAATGCACCGCTTGGTTTTCAGTTTTCAGTATTTGATGTTGTAGATTGTTAACAGTAGAGTCAGGAGACGGATAGTTGTCTCTTTACCAAAGTCCAGATAAAGTCAGATTAATTCTCAGGATTCCTTCACAGTCTGAAAAAGTACCAGATATGATTTTAGTAGTTTTCAGCTCTGGATTCATATGTGGGGAGAAATCTTTGTTTCCAGACTTTGATCCGTCCAGCTTTGTCCAAATGTCCTAGTTGTCCCGGTGTCTTTCCTTCATAGCTCCACTTCAACACTAAAATAATTAATGGGCTGTGAAGCTGCACACTCAGCATCTCTCCAACACACACTCCCCTTGGTGTCCTTCACTCCTTTAATATAAAGTCCATCTGCTGTGTTTGTCATAAACCTGCAAAGAATGTGATTTAAAATAAATGTTAAGGACTGTGTAGTGTGGAAATTCTAAATGAAAAAAATGTTTCATCATTATCTTTAGCCTTTACTTTTAGCTGCTGTTTGTCTACATAAAGATGTGCAGGCAGACGTGTGTCTACATCAAAGCAGACCCAGGGCCGCTCCTGGCAGCCTCAAAGCTCTTTGAAAAAGGCAGGAACACACCTGGCGGCGCTCTGTGCCTCTGATCTGGTTCTCTGCTTCATGTTTGTGTCGCAGGTGGAGAGAGAGAGGCCTGCCCTTCGTGTCCGGCAGCCGTCAGACTCATGAGAACGGGCCTTACAGCAAATTCAGGACCGGTAGGAGAAACTGTTTCTATTTTCTTCTGATTTAGCTGCTCCATGTTTTTCATTGTGAGGTAAACAAAACGATTGCCTAAAGGCATCATTAAAATAAACAAATAAAACCATTTAGATTAGGTCCAAAGCCAAACTAAAGTGGTTTATTTATAGAGTTAACCTTTTATCAGACTGCAAATTCAACATTGTGCAAAATGTCAGTAAAATTCACCTTTTTGTAAAATGTAAAAAAAAAGGACAGACATATCTAAAAATGTTTGTCAATATAGCAAAGAAGGTCTTCAGAGACTCTGTAAAACTGCCATGATAAAAAAAATCCCTCCAAATGCTGCTTCTAAGTGTAAATTAAAGAAACATTTTGCACCTTATTGCTAAAACAGCCACACCTGTTTCACATCCAGAATAAAGGTGCGTTCACACTGACCATGGATGTGGTGTGATTTACATGCTGTCTGTATCTAAAAGGGAAATTTAACTTGCCTTTGGGATTAATAAAGCATATTGGATTTTATTTTCTTTGCATTGAAATAACAGTTGGTGACATGTTTCATGTATAAATGGCACAAAGTGATTAGAGGAATTATAGTTATCAGTGTTAAATGTTTACCAGCTGTAGTAGAAATACCAGGTGTTTTTATGTTTTTTTTTTGTGTGTAAATATATTTTCATACCAGCCCCTCGTCTACAGCAGCTCAGCTAAAGGAGTCATTAACAATTTCCCTGTTAAAACAATTTAAAATGTAAAAAAAAATTTTAACAGGGGAAAATCTGATATTCCCATATTACTCCTTTCATGTAGCCGTCACACCTTGACGATTTAGCCAGCGTATGCCTGATGTCCTAGAATCTTCTAAAACGCTGGCAGATGCTGAACTGTCTATTTTTTTTATATTTTGGGTGTATACATAGAGTATTCATAATGAGTCCAGAACATATGTCCAACGACAGCCTAACTTATGTATAACCCACAGCAGCATAATGCTCATGAAATGTCACAAGCCAGTGTCCTGGGGGGGGCAGGAAAAAGATTCACAGCCGCGGTGTTAAACTAGCTACTGTTTACCGCCCGGCAAAAAACTGATTTGTATGAGCGAGGTGCGCGATAGGCACCCTTTTTCCACCTGGATCCCCGCTCTTTTTTGACCCATAACTTCTCCAACATATCCCAGCGTTTATGCCTAATTTTTCGTGCGTCAGGATACGCTGGCTAAATCGTCAAGCAGTGACGGCACCATAAGGTCAGGCTTCCTCCTCTTATGGAAGCGGCTGGTGTGACGATCAGCAGAGAAATGTTTCCCTCTGATGATTTGTGACCTGCGTCTGTGTGTCGTCTGTCAGACTCCTCAGAGGTCATCTGTATTGGCTGGAACCCTCTCCACTCTGACCCCCCCGCTGCAGCTCATATCTCCCTCCCCCTGGTCTTCCACCCATGACTCCCTGCATGCCATGTCATCCATTCAGGAATACTGTATGACCCCATGTTTCTTTGTTCTTCTATCAGTGCGTTTCCTGTTTGTGTATAAATGTGTAACTGTCATATATAATCTGGATTTTCAAATTTACTAAAGGACGACATTTATAATCAGAAAGTTTACTTGATTTATCTGTCTTGTAGTGTCTAAAATATCCTAAACTGTCTGATTTCTTCTGTTTGTAGAGCTGAGTGACGTTTGGTCCATATCCAGTGTGAATGTCCGACCCGACCTGCGGAGCACACCCAGTTCTCCCAGTAGCCCCCACCTGCCTACCATTACAGAGGAGTGAGGCGCGTGTGTTTGGGATCAGACGGCCAACAATTATATCTGATACGGCGTTTAAAATTTTTCTTTTCCAATCATGAACTAAAGCTGAAAATATGGAAGTAAAAAAAAAAGACCAGAAGAAGAAAGAAAATCTCTTTCCACTTCTTGGTTATCGCCTGGATGACTGAACAGATGGACCGGAGCTGGAGGACTGACTGCTTCCACAGAACATCTAATACGGCGCCGTGAGGTTCCTGTGAAGGAGAGAGACCGACAGGAGCAGGAACACAATCGTTTCTGCTCGGGAAAATAAGATGATCTCAGCTGTGGTGACGCCTGTAAATAGAGAGCAGCAGCGATTTCTAATTTAATATATTATTATGCACAAGCTTTGTCTCTTACTGTCAGCTGTATGAATGCAGTAGATCAATGCTTAAACCGTGTCTTTAAGGAAACCTTTTAGGTTTTAATTATGTTCCATTTAATGAAGTAAAAGTAGAAAACATTGTGAATTTCCCAATTTAACTGCAGCTTGACGGTTTTGAAGAATTTAAGCATTTTAAACAAAATGTCTGTTTCCTGGTCTACATAGATTTAATCTTCTATACATTCCTTTTATTTATATAATGTGGAAACATGATTGCTTATCTTGTGGCCTGCTTAACTAAGATATTTATAATAATTACTTAGAAAACTAAATGATTAAAATTAATGTATCTGTCAGGCTGAACAATTTCAGTTTTAATTTAAAAGTAATGTTCTTCTCATTAATTCTAACAATATTAAAAAACCTGCACCGACTACAGGAAGATTTTAAATTAACACATAAAGTGAGCCTAGCTGGTCTTCCACACATATTTATCCGTTTTAGTGTGGAGACGCTGGTGAACAGAATCAGCCGATACTCGGCTCCGATCTTTTTATGATTGGCAAAATCATATCAGAGTTCTGCCACATCATCCTGTTATCAGTAAGGAGTTTAAAAATTAAATCTGTTACTGTCTTTGCTTTGTAACTGACATGTTGCGTATAAACAGCAGCTGTCAACAGGATGGCTCCTCATATTGATGCAGATATGACCCACAATCCAGTTTGAATTAAAACTCATCTACTAAAACATCTGGCTGATGGTGGAAAGGCGAATAACCTGAATGCTGCCGTAAAGAAGTATTGACAGCTTTCCTTTTGGGGCATCTGCACAAGATTCACAGCGTCAGAATGACAGAAGGTCTGAGGTGAATGTATGATTGAGAGAGGCCTCCTTTCTCTACAGACTTTACAAACTTTTTTTTTTTCCCCACAGGACACCGATATGATCCTCTAAACAAGGCACTAAGTGCTGCCTAGAAAAAAATACTAAGTACTTAAAGGAGAAGTTCGGTTTTTTACACTTTAAGCCCATTTTCTGTAGTGTCCAGGATGAAATCGAATGATCGACACCAAAATTTTGACAATTGCTCCTGTCTCTGCTTTTTGGCTCATTTAGAATCCCCCCCTGGCTGCTTTAGAATGGCTTGCATAGAGCATGTCCGATAATGTCCTTAAAACAACCTTAAACGTTCTTTTTTTAAAATATGCTACTCACCGGGTCGTCAGCGCTGTTCAATGACGTTCCAACAAAAGTTTCGTGAAGAAAAAACGTTCCTGTCTTGTTTTATTTAGCATTTTGTAAATCCCATTGAGTTCTGTAGGAATAGTCAATATTCCGCTGCCACCGGAAACGGAAATGGGGCCTGTTTACACAGTTGTAGTCTTTTCGCTTCACTCTGCGTACTCCGACGTCGAGGTGCTAACGTCTCTGTTAAACACTTTAAAAAACTCTGAAAATGGAATACGAAAGGTGGATTCTTGATTCTCGACGTCGGAGTACACAGAGTGAAGCGAAAAGACTACAACTGTGTAAACAGGCCCCATTTCCGTTTCCGGTGGCAGCGGAATATTGACTATTCCTACAGAACTCAATGGGATTTACAAAATGCTAAATAAAACAAGACAGGAACGTTTTTTCTTCACGAAACTTTTTTTGGAACGTCATTGAACAGCGCTGACGACACGGTGAGTAGCATATTTAAAAAAAAGAATGTTTAAGGTTGTTTTAAGGACATTATCGGACATGCTCTATGCAAGCCATTCTAAAGCAGCCAGGGGGTGATTCTAAATGAGCCAAAAAGCAGAGACAGGACCAATTGTCAAAATTTTGGTGTCCTTCATTCGATTTCATCCTGGACACTACAGAAAATGGGCTTAAAGTGTAAAAAACCGAACTTCTCCTTTAACATAGAATTTCTTTTTTATAGAATTTCATTTTTATTTTTGGTCTTAATGATTTAAGATCTGAGATCCATTTTTAATATCATCCAGATTCTTATTCTCCACTGTTGGAGAACATGAAAGATGAAATATTTAAAGAAGCCATTCCTCCTAACATCTGGATTTTACTTGAGGAAACCAATTTTAACATTTGGCTGAAATTATACGTTATTTGTTTTGTTTTTAACTCTGAAGGCAACTCAGGATTTCTGAGTGAGAAGTTCATCTTTGCTACCGTAACATTATTTAATGTGTTTAGCTCGTAGGCCTGTTAGTATATTTGTGTTAAATATTGTAGCTGGTCTATAGGTTAAGCATTTAAGCTACAGTTTTAACTGCACAGCTATTTATTCTATTGAATATGATGTTTTCCACCGTAAGACCGTTCATTTTTAGCGAGCGAGTCTGGTGACATGCAGCCCTGCGTGGTTCTCCTCTGGAGGTGCTTTGCATTTTAAGCCTTGCCTGTGTTGGACTTATCCAACTCCTGTTTTTTAGCTGTTTCCTTGAAGTGATCCTAAAGCCAATACTACTTTTTTTTTTATATCAGTTGGAGCTCATGTAGATTATTTTAAAGCTGTCTGTTGTGTTTTGGGGAAACCCAGAAGTTTGAATGTTTTCAATAGAGGGTGGATTTGACCTTTATTTGATGAAAATGTCACCAAATTTATCAACTTAAAGACGAGTTTTCATAACTTGAATTTTGAGAAACAAAGATGAAGCTTTTCTTGAGTCAAACTTTTAAACCCACCCTTTCTGGTTATTAACTTGCCTAAAATCAAAGAAATATTGCAGACCAGTTTTCACTTTAATTTCCGTTTTTGTCAATAAATACAAATTTAATCCTTATAATAAAAAAGAAATGAATATTTTGGTGATATTCAAACAAAAACATTTGGTTCAGTATTTAATCAAACAACATTAAACCTGCTTTTGCAGCTTGGCATGATTTTAGCTTTAGGCTAATGCTAGCATAATGTCTTCAGTTCTGATCTCGCTTTTATAATGAAAGGAGCTTTGCATGCTGATCTGCATGTTTAATTACTAAAGCAGAGAAATTAGGATGTTTAAAAATGGATAACAGTTTGGTTTAAAAATGGTTAGTTTAAACTAAAAAGCCTCTGGAGGAAGAAACAAACACTTTTGGTCCTGATCACCTCCATTCTTCCCAAGTTGAATAAAAATAGTGGGAAAAAAATAGTATTTTTTTTAAGGTAATATGTCTGGATGAATAACTAAACTGTGTTAAAATCAGTCCTGATTTTTTTGTAGTTCAGAAATCACCGACCAAACATGCTGCTTTGATTACAGAAACTTTCATTTTCAAACAGCTGCACTCAGCAGCATTCAAATGTCTATTATTCCTAAAATGAATATTTTTTAGCTGGTAAACATTTTTATATTTTGGGTTAAAGACTTTTTCTGAGCCAGATGTTGACTGTATAAAACGCCTGCTTCACTATTTGAATGCCTGCAGCAGTGGCCTGTTTTTGTTGACATTACTGCCTCTTTAATGTTCCTCTGACAGAAGAAGTTATTCATTTGTGAGTAACTGATCTGAAAATTTTCGCCTTGATTAATGAGCTTATTGAACATATTGGTGAATTATTATGTAATGAAATAAACATGTGGATCATTCATGTATTGTTATACATGCTGTGGTGTAACAAACTGCCTTTTATTTTACAGAAGGATTCTTCTTTTCTGTAAAGTGTCTGATTATTAAAAAAAGAAAGAAAAATGCTGCCAGCTGTAATAAATAAGTAGAGAAAAACTGTTTTAATGATAAAAGTGAGAAAAAAATGTTATGATCCAAGAAACATTGTTATTCTGTTCATGAATATGACGTTTAAATTTTCATGAAGAGAGAATTTCTGCTCTATTAACATTTGGGTCTGTGCACATGCTTAGAGTTTAGAACATAGCGCCTAGTCTGCACACTTTAGGGTTTCATTAAATTTACTGAGCAATGTACCATTGAACCATGTCACAGCCTGAGCTGTTTAATCCGGATATTCCTTTAACTAAACCAGTCACACAACATTAAATTGGATAAAAGAAATTCCAGAACAGATGAGGAACAGTCAGTGAAATCTATCAGCCCTTAAAATGCTTATAAAGTCTGTTCTATATGTTTGGACTCCACCGACGCAGAGCCATTATACACCAATGAACATTTAGACAGTGGAGAAGCTTCACAGAAGTGACTGGCCGACCAAAATCACTCCAAGAGCTGATGAACAACTCATGCAAAAGGTCACAGATGATTCAACAATAAATTAAAACAAAATAGACTGGGGAAAAATATCCTAAATGACGATATCTGACCATTACTTTGTGGCCTTAAGGTAAAGATCAATCTGGTGATTTACAGGGACATCAAAAACACAGCAGGAAGTCCCAATTATTATAGGCTTAGGAGTGGCCTAGTCAAAGTCCAAACACTAAATCAGAAGATTCAGAGGTTTGACTTTAAATACGCCATTCCCGCTGATAGATCACTTGATGCGGCTGAAATAAAACGACTGAGAGGGATTTTAAAGGCTCATTGGCAGTTATCTCAAACACTCCATGTACCATGTATAGGAAAACAAACAGCCATTATGTTTAGGATGTACTTATTTTATCACATTTAGCCAACATATTTTTAAAAGCCGTTTTCCCTGAATGGGTGAAAACATTTGAAAACTGCTTTTGAAAAACTACTCAGGTTTTGATTTTCTGAATTTCGACAGAAAACATGTGATGATAGAAACAGCAAAATATACGTCAACAAGGAGGAAGATTTTTTATCAGTAAGAAGCCTGCAGGAAAGCAGCTCCACCAATAACAGGTGAAAGGAGTCATTCAACCTGTACCTGTCATTATAAACCTGCTTTACTTTTCACTTTGAATACATTAAAAAACAAATAAATTAATAAACAACCTGTTTGAACAAACTGTCTTCAACACATCTGAAATCTTTAATGATCTATAAAAATAATGAGAGTGAATATTAAGCATGGAGATATATTATGGTTTCCAGAAGAGAACAAATATCTGTATGGAACTAAGCGGCAAAGCTGAATTATTCATATTTTTTTCTCATCAAATATTAAAAACCCAGTTAAAATGATTGAAGTGGGGTTGAAAAGTGGTTCAGTTTGATTTAGGGTCTAAAAATGCTTATTTTTTTACACAAAACAGTTTAATTAAACATAGTGTCTGAAAATCAAAAAGGTTAGAAAACCAAATGCCAAAAACAAAACAATTTCAAGTCTACTATTTTAAACTGGAAGGTTGAGACATTTTTGGAAAATGTCAGGTTTTTTTTTTTTTTTAAACTATGATTGTAAATATAAATCCTTACCAGCTTCTCTGTATAAGTTCAGCTGCATGTCAGTTTCATCACTCCTGGTGTTGGATGCAGCCAGTTTTTATTTTCATCTAAAAAAAAACAAAAACAATCTCCAACAGAAGAAGAGCAGGGTACATCTATAAGCCACAGGAAAAATTTAAACTTGTTGGATATTTACAGTACTTAATAAAATGACCACAGTTTAAGTTGCGTCTACGATGAAAAGACTGACAGTTGTCTTAGAAGAACAAACTAAGATAATAAGATAAAATATTAAAATCTTAATGCTTTAGGTGTTTCTGTAGCTATGCATCAGGAAACTTCTTTTTACCAGAATTGATGGAGGAAATATTGGACCATTAAAGCAGCTGTTTAGCAGGAAAAATGACAATTATCTGAGTTCATTTTAAGATTCACTCGTTACTTTATGTGACATTCTTTATGAAATACATGTTCTTTTCATTATACAAGTATGAACGGGTGAGCTGAAGAACAACTGGACTTTTTTGTTCTTTACAAATGTTGCAAAATCTTCAAACTAAAAACTATGCAAGAGCAACATCCCATCAGATCACCATGACAACCAGAGCGGCAAACATCCAACTCTGGTCAAAAACATAACTGGGTCCCACTCTTGTTAACAGTGAATAAAAGAGAAACTACTTTTTCTTCCTCTTTCTTTTTTCTGCTGTAGTGATAAAGACATCTGATCTGA